AATAATCAATTGTCACTAATATAAAATTCTTTAATTAACTTTTCTAAAATATTTAAGTCACCTTTTAAAAAAATTGGTATAGAAAGTAAAAAGTAGATTAGAAAAAATTTCTTCAAATTAAGGCGTGACAACAAGAAGCGTTATCACACTCAAATTTATTTTTAAATTCGTGCTATAGTTAAATTTTACCATGTATATACATAATATATGTATGAATATGCGATAAAAATCTTACGCCTTATTTATACATACCTAAAACAAATAAAATTTATACTTAAATCATGTACATATATATATATGCTTATAGATGTTTGTACAAATTGCTCTGACATCCTCCAAATTAAGGTTAAAAATTATGAGATAACGCCAAAAAAAAAAACTTTCTTAAATAAATGTGAAAAAAAAAACTGGGGAGCGAAAAAATTGGCATAATAAACTCATAAAGTATATGACATTTTTGATAAGAAAATATCAAAAATAATTTTTTTTAAAATATAATTAAATTAAAAAAAACACAAAAACAAGCTCATTTATAAATCTGCTTATAAATATTGTGCTTTAGATTGCATTAATAATTATAAAAATTAATTATATTACGTAAGATACAGAAACTTTTTTTTTTTCAAAAAAAATTTTCACTAACAATTGTTTTAAAAATTAAAATTTCAAGCGGTTTGGCACTGTTTGTTATACAAAAACGCGTTATCAAAAATATTAAAGGAGAAATAATGAAATGAAAAAATAAAAAATCTTAAAAAAATTTTTGAATATCTATAAAGAATATTTAATATCTAATTAATCTTTTTGAAAGTTAATAATATAATGAATAAAATTCTTAACGCTCTACACACTGAATTTGAATTGAATCTTGACGTATAGATCTCAGAAAATAAACAAAACAAGAACCTTACCACAGAGAACGGAAATATTGAGGAACTACGTACTCACTAGAATTCATCGAGAGGGTGGGTCTCGAGGGGACGTTTAAGGGGCTTATACCACATCAAGTTGGGGGGCAGAATAGATCTTTTTTATGTTGGTTACGGTGCACTATTGCTCCATCTTTGCAATCTACTATCTATAACTTACAACACTTTGCAAAACTATTCTTGTATGCTTTGTTAGAATATTATATAATATTGTATTTTACATAATTCCAAAAATATGTATATATACTAATATCATTTTTATATATCTATAATTTTAAAATAAAATAATTTCCTAAAGAATAATTTTTCCATATTTACATGTTCACGTGCAATTATTTTTTAATTATTGCGTACATGCTTATAAGGAAAAAAATTTTATCTATTCTTATAATTTAATAAGTTTAATGATCTTCCATTTGAAAAAAATTTTATTACGAAATATAATTGAAATTGCATTCCAATATACTAATGCCGCGAGACCTTAAATGACCCTATTTTTTTTATTGAAGAAAACACATTCAAATAAATTATGTACAAAATATCTATATATATATGTATATCTATATATATATGTATATCTATATATATATGTATATGAATTTAAATTCTAACAATATATTATAATTTTTAAATTTAGTTAAGTAGCACCCTCGTTTAAATATATTTTTATCGCAATTTTCATTATTATTTATTCTAAATCCTGTGTGATCTCAAAATCGTCTCAACACAAAGTTTTATTACAATTTATATACCGCAATAATTCGCACTATATACCGCACTAATAAATTTTACAAATATATTGTAAAATTTGTTGTAAAAATTTATTTCAATTTACATACAGTTTGGATCATAAAACTCTGCAAAGTTTTCCATTTTATTTGGAATTTGTATGTCACAGTTTTTCATAAAATTTTCCCATACATATGAATGTACTCGTATGTACATAATAATAAAATTTAATGGAATATGTACATAAATGAAACCAATTTAAAATATACTTTTATTATATACTCCGCATATATTGTGATTCTATATAGAAATGTACTTAGTATTTTCATTATTATAGGCATAAAAATATTAGTATAGAACAAAACAGTCAAAATAATTTGCAATTTCCTCTATATATTCTGACGTAAAAATATCCGTTGTCATTCCTACTTATTATCGTCACTCTTTATTAAATATTAAATCTACATTCACTTTTATTAAAAAATAGTCATTTTAATAAATTTTTTTATTACTCTATACGTACACATCTACCATATTAATTTATTATAATATTTAGAACGTTTCAATTTAAAAATTTTCCAGTAACTTCCTACATACATTTTTGTTTATGAGAAATAATAAGATTTTAATATATGAAATTTATATTATTAAATGAAAAATAATCATTATTAACTTGTATACTCTCATACAATTTTTAAAGTTTTGATTGAATAACCAATAATTTTTAACATGCGAAAAATTTGCTTACGTAAATGCCTTTTCGAATGCGTACAGTCACAGACATCTTTATTCTCAAGCCTTCGTAATCACAGACATCTTTATTCTCTATACATTATAGGAGTCTATGGAACAGTTCACTTATCTTACTGATGCAATCCGGTAATAAATTCAAATAGTTTATATGCATGTGTGTATATACAAGTGCCTCAACTCGTATCGTATATAGTGTCTAATTTAATTCAAAACAGTTCCGATAAACAATGGCTCAAATTATAATACCATACTAGGATAACATCCAAGCTTGACTTTTATGCAATAATATTATGTATTCACAATTTTTACACTAACAACACTTTTATAATAAACGCAAAAATGGCTATTTAATTTCAAATAAACTGAAATGTATATTATGTCAATATGCATATAATACAAAATATATTTACATAAATAGGATTTATATAAACACAATATTGTATATACAATTGCGCTAGTGAATTTATTAAACTTAAAAAATAAACAATAAAATTTCAATTAAGTTAAGCATAGTTTGCTCCCATATTGTTTTAGATTCCATTCAATCAATTCTAATCAAATCAATTTAAAAATTAAACAAACAATAATGTTATAAAAAAAAACTATAGAAAAATCAAAAAAAAAATAAGAAAAGAATAACTACACATAAAATTAAAAAGTGTATTTTAAATAGCGGTAACTTAGCGCACACATATTATTTAATACACTTCAATATATTTACATATGTATTCACGGATGTATGTATATATGGAATTATTTACATACATTAGTAATATACACATAATAAAATAAATAAAGAAATAAATATCACTAGTGATAACAATATAATGAAAGTGAAATTGATTTGATTTGACTTTATGGATCAAAATATTAATATGGGCGAAGAGAATAAAATTATTTATTTAATTTATTTATTTACATGCTTGTACAATGCATTATGTATGAATGGCTACACAAAAAATATTATTCTTTAAATAAATAAACACACATAAAATGAGGATCCCCTTGTGAACACCAATGGGTTAAAAACACTATAAAATTATCAATGTCAAATTAATCAAAATAATGAACATAATTATCTGCAAATTCATTATCAAAGCCATAAAATATTGTGAAAAATCTATATTTTAATATGTACGAGTATGTATGATCATAAAAGTTAAAATTAATAATCGCGCTACTTAAACAGAAATACTTGTGTACACGTATGAATAAAAAATTTATCAGCAATTTTCCTAATAATAAAATTTTTAATATAAATACTAATGTAAAATTTGTTGTACTTGTTAAATAAGTTAAAAATACTTTCCATAACCCAAAACCTCACTAGGCTAACCAAATTTTTACCAATTAGAGTTTAATATTTTAAAGAGTTGTTTTCACAAGAATCCTATTTAATTTAGATGTAATCACAGCATTAGTTCAAATATGTGCAACGCCACTCTTTAAAATAATTTGGTCATATTTCGAGAATTGCAAACCGTATTAAGTTTATGAAATAACAAAGCCATTATTCCATTAAAATTTGGTTGCGATTATATAAGTTCTTAAAATAGCTGCCATACAAATTCACAATATGAACGCAAATCAAGTACAAAAAAGTTAAGTATTAAAACCATTCTGAAAAATGTTAAAATTGAATTTTTGTGTTAAGATATCAAATTACTTGTAAAAAACATTCATACAGGTATCACAAAGTTGATATGGTCCACCCTATTTGTTCTCATTGTACCCGTATGAACGTATGTTCGGAGGGTATACTAAATTTGCCTTACCGTTTGTAACGCTAAGAAATAACGGTCTTAGATATAGACTCCAAATGTATGTTTCCGATCAGCGTCAAATTTTGAGTTGATTTAGCTTTGTCTGTCCGTCCGTCTCTCCCAGCGATAACACAAAACTAATTGAGCTAAGTTCACCAAATTTTCACAAATGATTTATTTTAGTAAGTGGCAGAACCCTGTTTAAATTGGACATGATCGGGGTACCGGGTCAGGTAGCTGCAACACAGCTTCAAAATTTATTTAGCTATATCTGAGAAACTATAAAAGCTGTGGTATTGAAATTTCACATAAACGAATATATTAGTAGAGCCAATGCGTACGAAGCGTTGTACAACTTCAAAAGTCATTTGGCTATGTCTCAGAAAAGTGCTGAAATTTTGCATAAATTAATATGGTAACACGGCAACTTAAAGTCATAGTCTGTCCCATAGTCAGTTATGGCATATTTATTCGCGCATAGGATAACAAATTCGTACGGGTGTCACAGAGTTGACAAGGTCAACTCTATTTTTTCTCATTTTTATTTAAAATTACTTACACCTGTTAAAAAAGAACATACGCACATATACGAGTAATATAATGTTATATCAAAATTTTTGGATAATTTGAGAAAAATTTCAAAAATATAAAAAAATTTTTGCTTTTACATGGAAAAATTACGTGCAGAATAACAAACAGAAAATTACTGCAATAACAACATATGCAAAAAAAAAATTAAAATTTTATTAAAATTATTATACCTATTACTTTATTGAATAATTATACCCTTAATAACCATTCTATTTATTGATTTATGTATTTTCAGGACCAGAAAAATGGCCAAAACTTTTTCCGCAAGCATCTGGACATCGTCAATCACCCGTAAATATTCAAACCTCAGTAACAAAAAGAGGCAGTGAATTACATGGAAAACTACTGTCATGGAAATATGTACCTGAGAATACCAAAAGTTTAGTTAACCCAGGTAATTATAAATTAAACACCATAATAGATATAACCATAAAAATATAACTTTAGTGAATTTAGGAAACGATGTCATAATATTCATCGTTGAAATTTTTATTGTTTTCAAAGTTAAAAACAAAACATAAAATTCCACTGAATTATTTCAAATTGTTTTGGTACATAAAATTTAATATATGTGTGTATGTACTGTAAATTATTAGTCTTAACCTGCTTAAGAAATTTTTTATTACATAAACAATATCAAAACATTATTTAAATTTCATAGGTTCAACTACACGTGTACGTTTTTATTTGATGGAAATTTTAATGGTAAAAATTTTGAATTTCTTTACACAACCGCGGCTTCAAAGATCGTGCTAAACTCTTGGTATAAAGCATTTGTTCGAGTATTTATTAATGATAAACTGGAGTATTTTGGGGTGAATAAACCGCTGCTCCTCTTTCTCGCGAAATTTTAAATTACTTCAATTTAGACATACTATTGAGTTGCTTAAAAGCAAAACTATTGCAAGCAATAAACTGAAATATAATTTCTTACTAAAATATTTAAAAAATATTCATTTTATTACATATTTATATAAATATTCTTTTATAGGTTATTGTTGGCGTGTTGATGTTAATGGAACTGATTCTGAATTAACTGGTGGAATATTAGGTGACAATATTTATAAATTAGAACAATTTCATTGTCATTGGGGTTGTTCCGATGGACGAGGTTCAGAACATACAGTTGATGGTAAATCATATTCAGGTGAATTACATTTGGTACACTGGAATACAACAAAATATTCAACATTTGGTGAAGCAGCAAATCATCCAGATGGTTTAGCTGTATTGGGGGTATTTTTAAAAGTAAATGATTATTTTAATCTTAACTTTTCTTAATTCATTTTAATTGCATACATATTATGTATTTTAGGTTGGAAAACATCATGATGAATTAGAAAAAGTTACAAAACTTTTACAATTTGTCCAACATAAAGGTGATCGTATAACATTACCAGAATCATGTGATCCTGGTAAATTATTACCAGATATTCATACATATTGGACATATGAAGGATCATTAACAACACCACCATGCTCAGAATCAGTTATTTGGATTGTATTTAAAACACCAGTTGAAGTATCACATGATCAATTGGATGCAATGAGAAATTTAAATTGTTATGATGTTAAAGAAGAATGTCCATGTGATAATTTAAATGGAAAAGTTATCAACAATTATCGTCCACCATTACCACTTGGCAATAGAGAATTAAGAGATTTTGGAGAACGTTAAATTTTTTTTTTATAATTACAAAATACTTATATGAAAATGATTATAATTTCATGTAAATTCTGGATATTCCTATTACATAATACAAAAACAAATAATATAATTTTATAAACATTTTAATTTTTTGCTCATAGATATTCGTATTAAAAATAACCAAAAATAAAAATAAATATGGGAAATAAGCTGATGAACACATTAACCTTATTTCGTTCTTTTGCTGCAACAAAGGCATAGCTCGTTTTCTGAGTTATTTATACTGAAAATTTCTGTTTTGTCACTATTACTTCAACTTGAAATTTGTCGCTAACAATAAAATATAAAATATTGCTATAGCAAGGCCAAAACTTTCTCAAATGGGCAAATTTTGAGTAAAGTCAATGTTGCAGCAACAGGGCAGATATGTACATTTTTTTCATTCTTAATTTAAAGCCAAAATATTGTTATTAATTTAAAATTAAAATAAATTTTAAAATATTTTTTAATCACATTACCAATTTACATTAATTTTACTTTTTTTATTATATTTTTTTTAAATTTTTGGAATATCTAATATTTTTATATTTTCAAAATTTACAACAAATTCGCTTTGATACAAAAGATTTTTTTAAAGAAAATTGAATTAAATTAGATAAGCAAAACATTAGGATCATCCTAAATATTTTTTTGAATATGATGGCTAGACAAAATTTTGGGCATAACATTAAAATGCAAAATAAAAATCTACATGTGAAAAAGTAGAAATGAAATATATCTACTTGTTGAAATTATTTTTATATATAAAATTGTGTAATAAAGCCAGTTTCATTAATTTAATAATGAAAATTTTAAATTAAAACCAACTTATGTAACTATTTATGAACACCAACGTAAATTAATGAACTAACCAGTTGCTTTTGTAATATTGTAAATTTATGTGTATTGTACTCATAGCTCTAAACTAAATCATTTAGATTTTGTTATTGATATAGAATCAAGGAAAGAATACTATATAATTATACAGAACCGTATGGTGCCTCTAGAAAATAACGTAATTTGAAATTTTACTTTTTTAATTTTTAAAATAAATTTTATATAATAAATATTGTTATATTATACAGATAATTTATTAATACTAGAATATATTATTATATTTGTAGATTTGTGAAGCGAATAAATTTATATGTATATATATATCTGTTAAAAAATAACGTTGCGATTATGTTAATTAATATGTTTTATGTTTGAAATAATAATAAAGTTGAAGTGAACAATAAGTTGTTTTTATTAAATCCCATATTTGTCCTGGATCCTAGTGTACTAACTACCTTTACTTTTAAACTTTAAAAAAAGTATTTTTTTTATTAACATTAATAGTTCATTATTGTATTAAATCTTAGTGCAAGAGAGACTTTCCAAATTTTCTGATTAATTGAATTAAAAAAAAAGTAAAAATTGGTTATGATGCAATAGGATTCTGGATATATGAAATCCTATTAGGTTATTAGCTAAACAAATGAATATGTACGTATATAATTATATAATTAATGTATATTCTAATAATATTAACGGCGGTATTGCAAATCGTCTCAAGTACTTTAACGATTGCATTTTCAAATATAATATTCCTTTAATTACTCTCAAAAGCCATTACGGCTCATTACGGCTCAAAACCCGCATGTCAAAACAAATTTTTTCTTTTTACCGACCGTATTGTGTAAACAATAGGTAGGTTATGTGACGGCAACAAATTTTGCATATCGAGTTTTCGGTGGGAATGCACTTCTCCATAGTAGGGAAGTGTAAATATACTATTTTTAGCAACCTGTCGATCTGTCGGTCTGTCGGTTTGTGTGTGCACGCGTGTATCTCAAGTTCTGCTGAACCGATTTTGATGAAATTTTACATGTAAGTTTATTTCCACCATGGCGAGGGTTTATTTCCACCATGGCACGGCATTCTTGTTCAACTTTTGGGATACATCAGGCCTCGGGAACTGCACTTTTTAGCGGGCCTGTTTTACATTTTTGAACATTTTGAAGAAAGCATTCAACCGATTTACTTGAAATTTCATATATAAGCTTTTCTCGACCATCCGCAAACATACCTAACTTTTGGAAGAAATCAGGCATCAGCAACTGGACGTTTACTACGGGCCAAATATACATTTTTGCGTAAATAAAGGGATCTAATTGACCGATTTCATTGAAATTTAATATATGAATTCCTCGTATTAAAACAATGAACATATAAATTTTTTGGAAAGATCAGGGCTCGAAAACTGATTTGCGGGCCGATTTTACATTTTTCACCATTTTGAAGAAAATATTCAACCGATTTACTTGAAATTTCATATATGAGCTTTGCTCGACCGTCCGCGAAAATTGCTAACTTTTGAAAGAAATCAGGCATCAGCAGCGGGACGTTTACTACGGGCCAAATATACATTTTCGCGTATATAAAGAGAAATAAATTACCGATTTCATTGAAATTTAATATTTGAATTCCTCGCATTAAAACAATGAACATATAAATTTTTCGAAAATTGATTTCTATCTACGGAACGAATTGATGGAATTTCTTGAAATTTAATATTTGAGTTCTGATTAACTGGCGAGCATTTCTGGGAATTCGGGTAGCACAAAGCGAAACTCTACTAAGAGCCAAATTTACATTTTTCTAGGTATGTTAACTATAAGCTTACTAATGTCCTAAAAATTGGAAAGAAGTATTCAACAGACATTTTTATAATATTCTGTAACACTTTCATTTAACTAGACAATACACAATGCGGTCGGTTATGTGCTGACCACATCAGATTTTTTTTTATTAATCAGTTACGTATGTATGCATGTACATATGAATGCGTGTCTTGTAAGATTAGTAATAATAGTTGAAAATTTCTGAATTGGTTTTTTCATATTTAATTATTTTTCTAAATTTTTAGAAATTACAATCACTCAGTATTAATGTGTGTTACAGCACTTTGCTTATGAGGGCTTATTGATTTACTCATTATTGTTTCAAGCAATTTAATTAGTAATGGCAATATGTTTTATTACAGACATATAAATTTTACCTTGGCTTGTTAATTTTTGTCTGCTCCTATTTTTTATTCTCCGTGATGTGTTCTCTGACCTTGGGTATGTTCAAAATATTTGTTCCAATTATTTTGTAATTTAGCTATGAATTCTGTCTTCTTCGCAATAAATTCGTTCTTCAAACTTGAATTTACGTTATTGATAACTTTATTGATTTTTTAAAATAATCAAAACTCTTTGCATAAATTTGATTTACTCCAAGTAAATTCTGTATACGTTTTATATTACTCCTGAAAAATTCTTTAAAATATTTCGGAATTGAAATATAATTAATTTGAATGAGTGCATTCATAAGTCTGCAAGAGTTGGTTCCTCACATTGATTAATTTATTTTCATCCATTTTGATGCTCATTTTAAAATTTTAATTTTATTCAAATTTATATGTACATATTTTTCTATATTTTTCTATTAATAATTTTATTCAAATTTGTATTTTTCTAAAAAATTTTTTTGACTTATAATTCTAATTTTGAATTGACAGTAATTTGTAATTTAAAATACAAAATATTACAATAAAATTTAAAACTTTTGTAAAATAATAAGTTTTAGATTTATTAATCTGAATTATCAAATTAATGGGGGCGGCTATAACAACGTTAAATAAAACGAAATTTTAAAGAAACAACTTGAGTAAAGCAAACATCATATCAAAACTTTAAAAGTTTTAATTAGATTGCGGTTCCCTGGACGAAATTTACCCATAAGTAAACTTTTCAAATAATGTTCGAATAGTCTACATAGAGCGTCCGGAAACTGAACGTTATCTTATATACGTTTTGCATTAAAATTTACCCCAAAATGAAAAAGTTTAAGATAAATAAATATGTAAATACAATGGAGTACATGTTGGAAACTGTTATAAAATTAAAAAAGACCTACATATACATACATAATTGTATTCAAATATGAAATCTAAATTAATTTTAGTCAATTTTTTGATCTTTCATTTTTGAACAAGGATTTAAAATATTTAAAAGTGAAAATAAATTGACAGATAAATTATTTTGTTTTCTTTCAATTGATCTTAAAACGTCACTAATAAAAATTTACTAAATTCTCTAAATTAATTAAAGAAATTCTCTAATTAATAATTTACACTATGTGTGGTGTTCATAATAGACTAAAAAAGCAATAATAATAATAAGAAGAAAGATGACCAGCTGCATCTAAGTATTCTTAAAAAATTTAAAATTAACAAAACAATGCCATAAAAACTTTGTAGCCTTCGTGATTATTTTAAAATCTTATAGAATTTTTAGTAAATGTTACACATTTTATTCTCACATACATACTGCACTATAATTTTTACCTATTTACGAAATCTTATTTGATTTTTATACCTGAGGGAAAAAATTATTGTTTAATGATTTATGATTTGTATGTATGTATGTACATATCAAGATATTACAATATTTAGAATGCATTTTCTCTGATCATATGGTTTTTATTTATATTTGCAATAAATTTTAGGGTATGTATGTGTATGGTTTTTGAATTATTCTAAAATTATCTGTGCTCTCTCTCTTATATTCTTTACTTTTTCTCTCTTTTCATATTTGTTGGATTTGTAACCTAATTTTCCTATTATTACATGATATACAGGCATATTCGATAATATCTTAAGTATTGAGATTGTGAAAAAAATTAAGGATATAAAAGGACGAGATAAATAAGAAATTGATATTAGTCAAATCTTGGAAATTAAATAGTAAACATATTGAAATAACTTTTCTGAAATTCCTAAACCAAAATTTAAAAAAAAAAAACAAAAATAATAATAAATCAACACATTTGGTAACGTAAGAATTTGTTTTTGTTTTGAAATCAGTAGGCGGGAAAATTATTTACAAAAATAACAAATATTCACATTTTTTATTGAACATTGAAACTACATAAGAAAACTTAAAATTTTATTTAAAATGGGTAATTTATTAGAAAAACCATTAGAAGGCTCAGATGGATACCCGTCGAATCATAACAATTTTAAATTAATTACATCAAATGATGCATGGAAAAATTTACAAAAAAATTTTATTGAAACAAATATAAGAAAACGTGTTGAAAAACAAATTTTTAAAGAAAAGTGGGCATATTTAAATAAACAAAATAATAATGAAATCAAAAAACAACAAAATTCAATTAATTTAGAAGAAAAAAACAATAAAACACCGGTTAAACAAAATACTACCTCAAAAATTAAAAATATAATTCAAGAAAATGTTACAAAAAGTCCAAATATAAATTTTATGCTATTCCATTATAAGCAACACTTAAAAAATAAACAAAATGATAAAAATAAAACAAAAAAATGTGCAACTAAATTATTATTAACACAAAAATTAATTAAACATAATAATATTAATGAAATGCAAAAGGATATTCCAGACTCAGATATGATTAAAATTGAAGAGGAAGCAAAACAAATTCATGAATTACGTTCAAAATTATCCAGAAACCTTATGGATTTGGATGCTAAAAATCGTTCCTCAAAACGAAAACGTATTGAGAATAATAAAAGTTTAACAAAAATGATGAGATTAAAGAAAAATAATAAAATTGCTCCTATGCCTTTAACGCCAGTGAAATTAAGTCGATTTACAGTTGATTAATATCTTTAAAACATTTATTTGGAATTTACATCTAATTTCAACTAACAATAGCCTTAACATGTGATTCATTATCTATTTTTAAAGATATTATTGAAAAATATCTATTGGTTTGACCAACATCAACATAATGTTATAAAACAAAACAAATTATTATTTTTGTAATTAATGTAAATATGTAAATATAAATATGTTAAATTTTTAAAACTGTAAATAAATTACGAAATTAAGTATTCCTAATTATTTTTTTCATCATTGATGACGTACCTTTCTAATGAGCATTTAATTTACTTTTAATTAATGAGCATTTAATTTCAAATAATAACTAATTAAATGATGTTCACGATATGTCTAACAGTATTTCGAGAAATTTTCGAAAACAAAGGAATATAATTAGTTCGGGTCTTTACAGCATTAAACTGTTTTATAATAAATAAAAAATCTAAAATTTACTTACTAAAATCATTAAGGTCACATTAAAATCACAAGAACAAATTCTAATGAAAACCTTCCCTATTGTAGGTTGTATTCTATTTCAAATTTATAAATTATTTAGTACATTATAACGTAAGGTTTAATACATTTTAGAAAAAGCAAAAAAAATTATTTTTCAAGCAACACTGCATGTCACAATTATAATAAAATAAAATAGCAAAAAAATTATACAAATCCCAGGATACCTTAGGTATAAAGTAATACTTAACAGTAATCAGTAGCAGGTACTTTGTATTTATTTTAATTATCTTTAGCGATGTGCGAAATTAATGTCAATATTACCTGTGTGGTATTTAAGGATAATCAGACTCTCTTTATATAAAAGAGAACTTTCTTTTACATTTCCAATATTCTAATAACAAAGAGAAAATATATTTTAAAGTTAAAACAAAATTGTTTTAATTGTGCTAAAAAATTGCACGATCTTACAGAACAATTTTTTATGGTTGTAAAAACACATTTCTTTAGAGCAGAGAAAAAACTTCCTAGAAAGCAAATTAGTCCAAAACCAGGCCAGTCCCTTTCTCTTATTATGCTCTGGTCACATTATACATAATTGAACATACATACATATATTATTTAAATATGTATAAACGAACTTTTTTATTTTTATGTTTAAAATTTTTGTTACCTTCTCTTTTAAATTTAGTATTTTTACAGATTTACATGTAGTAAGTTTATTCTTTTAATTTCTTTAAAATAATTAAAAAGTTAATTAAAACAACATAATGTATCCTCAAGAACCAATCCAAGATTTTGTTAAAGAAATGAAATTATTAAAGTTACCAAAAGAGTTATTTGATAAAATTGTTACAAAAAGGAGTAATTCTTACAATGAAACATTTAATAAAAATCTTCACTTGAAAGATCATGAACTACGACAACGTCGTAAAAGTTATATGGAAAATATTATTAGTAATTTTCCAAAACCGAATATTAATTTTATTAATCTAACAAAAAAAGAAAAGAAAAATTTTAAAACAAAAAATACGACTGCATACAATAAATTTTTTACTAATAAAATATCAAGATTTTTCAACTTGAAAGTGCCAAAAAATTTTACTAAAAATAAAATTTTATTAAGAAATCCTTTCCACAATGCAAGATGTCCTAAAAAAATCAAAGAGCAAACAATCAAATTCAGTAATAACATGGAAAATACAATCAATAGGACTAAAAGTATTTTTAATGAAAAAAATTCATTTTCTATTGAAGAATACAAAACGAAGTCGAATTTAATCAAAAACAAAGAAAATAATAAAGTAAGAGTAGCTAATACTTCTACAATAATAACAAATTCAAATAATATTAAAATTCCAGAAGCTACAATCAAAAATATTTGTAAATATCATCAAAATATGGTCAGAAATTTTCCAAGGAAGATTCGATCATCTGAAGACCAAGAAAAAAGAAATCGTAATACAGAAGCATGCAGAATAAGCCGAAGAGCAAAAAAACTTGAAGAAATGGTTTTGGATAATGATTATTATTTAAAAATGAATCAACACAATAATATTATGAAAGAATCTATCAAAGCGTTTTTCTATGTGAGACAATTAATGGAAATTCTAAATTAAAATTCATTATAATTATTTTTTATGTATGTACATATAAAATAAAGAAAGTAATAATTAAATTCAAATTAAGTATTTAATATAATTATTATTTGTTTGTAATAATTCCACAAATAAATTTAACATCTACTTACATTGTAAATCTTCCTTGAAGAGATTAACAAATTAATAATGGATATGTGGCATGTTTTTCTAGATCAGTTTGAGATTGCAAATTATAAAAATAAACTTTATTACTCTTTGTTTTTAACTTGAAATAACAAAATTCTGAAATTTATATATTTTTTTATATTTAATCATTTGGAACACAATATAAATAAATTACACTAAAAAAACCAAAAAGCGAAACTTAACTTGCAAATTTGAAAAATGTACGTTAGTGTCGCTAGTGACTGTTTGATTCAGAGCGATTAAAATTTTTCCCTATCGGTTGTTTTTTGTATCAAATATTCAAAAAAACCTAGTTCTTAAAGCAAATTAATATGATAACAATTAGCATTGAATTAATTTTAATATTTCTTGTTTCTATTAAATATTATTTTCTTTAAGTAAAATATTTTAGTATCTAATTATTACGACTTTACGGCTTTAGTTTGAATTTTGCTTATCCATGATCAAAATTTCAATTTAACGAAATTATAAAATAACGCAAATATTGTTTGACAATTTTTAGACGTCAAAGATATTGAAACAAATTGAAACAAAATTGAAAGACAATTATTAGTCAAGTTCTGTCGCTACATCAGCTTTTGTCATTTTTCAGTATTTTTATTTTTTATCATATAGGTCTAAGTTTTGAATATTCGTGTAGACGGACCAGAGTCCACGAATATCCTATAAATTCCAAAAAACAAAAATCAATAAGACTAATACTTATAAAATAATTTAATTACATACATATTTGTTAAAAATTTTTTTGTTAAACTTCAACTACTAAAAGCAACTAAAATATTATTACAAACCATGGCAGAGAGACACACCTTTGGTGATTCACTAGCACCGATAACATGCCATGCTTGGAATAGAGACAAAACACGTAAAAATTAAATTTTTATACAAAAAATAAAATTAATAACATACTTAAATATTTTAGAAATTGCTCTTTCTCCTAACAATCATGAAATTCATATTTACCGTCGTGATGGGAATGATTGGAAATTGATTGACGTTTTAAATCAACATGATTTACGAGTTATGGGTATCGATTGGGGCCATAATACCAACCGCATTGTAACTTGTGCTTCTGATCGCAATGCCTATGTTTGGACGCAATCCGAAGATGGCAAATGGAAACCTACCCTTGTATTACTTCGAATCAATCGGGCAGCAACCTGTGTAAAATGGTCCCCCCTAGAAAATAAATTTGCTGTTGGTTCAGGGGCTCGTTTAATTTCAGTTTGCTACTTTGAATCAGAGAATGATTGGTGGGTTTCAAAACATATTAAAAAACCAATACGGTCAACTATAACATCTTTGGATTGGCATCCAAACAACGTTTTATTATGTGCTGGATCTACCGATTATAAGGTATCTCTTGCTAATTTTTTTTTTTTTGTGATAACTATATCGACAATCAAAATATTTTTAGGTTCGAATTTTTTCAGCTTATATTAAAGATATCGAAGATCAGCCATCACCTACACCATGGGGAAACCGTATGCCTCTTGGTCAGTTAATGGCTGAATTTCGAAATACCTCTTCCGGTGGAGGATGGATACACAGTGTAAGTTTTTCTAGTGATGGAAACCGAGTATGTTGGGTAGGTCACGATTCTGCTATTAACATTGGTGATGCCAATAATGGAAACAAAGTGGTTACTATAAAAACAGAATTTCTACCATTTTTAGCTTGTGAATGGATTTCGCCAAACAATATAATAGTTGCGGGACATAGTTGCATACCATTAATATATACTTTTGATGGGCAGAAACTTTCCCTGGCAGCTAAATTAGATCATACACAGAAAAAAGATTCAACTGGAATGTCGGCAATGAAAATTTTTCAGTCTTTGGATCGAAATTTAAAAACCGACAATTCGGACAACTTTTTAGAATCCATTCATCAGAACGCAATTACAAGTATTCGTCTTTTTAAAGGAGATAAGAACAATTGCTCAAAAGTTAGCACGTCGGGTGTTGATGGACAAATGGTTATTTGGGACTTGTCTTCAAATTTATCGAAGTCTATGCAGGGACTTAGATTGTAAAGTTCTCTTTTTTAAAAACAAAGATTTGTACTAATCTAAAGTCAATGTTTCGTCTATTAATAAAAGTTTTTTAGATGTCAGGTATTACATATATATTTTCATTATTACGTACTTCAGTAGATATGCAAAATTAAAAACGTTTTAATTTCAAATTTTATTTGAAATTTTGAAATTCACTCAACATTTTTTCCACTTAACAGCCTAATTGCTTATATAACAATGGAACATAATCATCCCATTGGGCTTGATAAAAGTTTCCAGCAACCGGATTTCCCAGTTTATATTTTTCTGCAAATTTTTTAATAGAAAAACAGCCCCTTCCATCACCACTATTGTTTGGTAAACGTTTTTCATCAAATTCCAATTTTCCGGTTTGCTTGTAAACAAGAAAGACATAACGATGTAGACCTGTTCCTTGTGGAGGACCGGAACCAACATAAGCAGATAAAACTTCACCTTTTGAGATATCACCGCCAGGTACATTTCCAACAAGCCAATGGTGCCATTCACGAAATTTAGGACTTGCACGGCTAGGGGCATCTATTATATCATAAAATATAAATATTTCGTAAAATCAGTTGAAATTTTACATGATAACCTACCTGGATCTGTCATACAAACTGTATATAACGAATCGGACTCTGCATTCCATTTAACTTCTGGGATATCTTTAACTTGAGTTGGAGTTAACTCGTTACCTTGATCAACAGTTACCCCACTGGGATATTTCACTTCAGCGATTTCTGTTCAATTACAATATTAAATAAAAAAATTATTACTCACATATATTTTAATTACCAGTTGGTGTTACATCAATAACGTCCGGAACAACTTCGTGTTTTTCCATTTTTTTTTTACAAATTAATGAGTTATAAAAGACACCAAATTTTTTATAAATCCAATTCACATTCAATTGCTCCTCGAGTTGGTAAAATTATCTTAATTGTAAGGGGTGCGTATTCTTTTCCACCCGGCAACAAATTGACGTTGTCACAACAAACTATATGCTTAAAGGCTTGTATACACAAAAATGAATAAAAATAAATTTGAAGTATTTTAAATTATTTGAGTTCAATTCATTTTGTTGTTCGTTATTACAAAATAAAAGTAAACGTGTATTGCCAATTTTATATTGAATTAATATAATGACTGCGTGTGAGGTTTGTCTACTAAATTCAGTTACTGAGTACATAAATAGATGATAACATTTCTATCAAAAAAGATTAATTAAAGCTACATATAGAGTAGAAAGAATTGTTTCATACAATTCACCAAATTTACAACTTCCAGTAGAAACAACGGGGCTATATTAGCTGAAATTAATATCTTATTTGTTTTGTATACTTAAAGTGAGATGGAAAATAAATTATGTTGTATTGACCAAATATTTATCCTGTTCTCTTTATAATTCCCTTACATGATAAATTCTCATACCTGAAATAAATTATAACTTGTAGAAATAAAAGTTTGCTTTGTTTACATCATAAGTTTTCTTTTGCGCGCCTCAATAACAAAATTATTGATTTTTAATTGACTTTTGATTTTCAATCAAAAATATAAATAGAATTATTAAAGGGTTTATAGAAAAATTAGTTAAAGATAGTTGAACAGAGTTTCATAAATAAATAAGTGAGGGAATGAAGGAAAAATATTGTCAAAACGCTTGATCAGAGTAGTCATTTGGTGTGCAGTTACTCTGTTTAGATGCTAATTACACGGATTCATCAGGAAAACTTTTAAAAAATTCATTCACTCACCTGAAAATAAATATATGTATGTTGGATAAAATGATCGAAGTAAATTTTTACAGTTATCAAAGCTGTGCATTGGATTTTACATTATGTACGCTTTTGACATTTTTGACATTATTAAATGTCAAAAAAGAAATTATTTTGACATAAAGGAAAAAGATTAGAATTTTGGAGATGTTCTGTACAAGGAAATCTCGCAAAAAAAGGGTAATCGATAAAATGATTAATGTTAAAGTATTATTGAAAAATTTGTGAATTTTACCATAATATTTATAAAAAAATATTTAAAAATGTTATAAAATAATTAGAAATTTTCATAAAATTTGAATATGTTTTTCAATATTTCGTTTAAAAATTATCTAATCACTTAACAATACAAGAGAACATAAAAAATTTTTCTTTTATACTTGTATAGTAAAGCAAAGGAAAAAAAAAACATTCGTGGACAGTGTACCGAAAATTTATTACTACATGAGAATTTGTAAAACAAGAAAAAAAAATCAATGTAAATAAGAATATTGTAATTAAAGTGCAATGTTAATTAAAAATGTATAATATAAAAATTTGAGAAAAAAATTCTTTCAATGTAAAGAAAAGAATTTTTCTTTGATTTAGATTAAATGTTAAAATTTGTGATATTTTGATATAAAAAAAAGGAAAACAAAAATCGAATATCATGTTTTCGGGTTCGATTAGTGAACTTGACTATGATTTCGAGAAAAGTGAAAATGCAGTTAAATGGAAAGGTTTATTTGCACCAGCATTAAAAAAGGTTTGTTTATATTTAATTGATATTTTGTTCTTTTGGAATTTTGCTTGTGTTCTCTTCGGTTTCTTTTTCTTTAATTTTCTGAAAATTTTTGAAGAAAAGCAAAAAAAATTTTTGTCTTCCTTCTATTTGAGATGGAATTCTTTTGTTGTGGTCTCATGTCGGTTTCAGACGTAGGAAAATGACAGCTAGACGACTTCCATATTGGAAAAAAAAGTCTCATATACCAACATACCTATTAAAAGAAAATAAATTAAGAGTTTTTATTTTTTTGTTCAAATACCTTTTTTTTTGGAGATGAAGAAGATGTATGAAAATAAAACAGAGGGTTTTGTATTTTAAATAACAACTATTTAAATACAAATTTATAATATCATTTTTTTAATAAAGTAAGAAGTGTAGGTTGCATATTTCACTGTACCTATCTTCCTACCTACATATCTATATACATATATATGTACATACATATTTACTTATATTTTTGTTTTTATAGGTAGATAGGTACGTACTATGAAATCTATTCCAAAAAATTATGTATTAAAATTATTTTCCACTTATTTTTATTTTATTAATTAAATTATTTATTTTTTAAAATAATGTAAACTTACTCAATAATTTACTTTAAATCTGTATTTATTCTCAACATGCTGATTTTCGGTTAAAAATTCGTTAATTATATGTACTGTTAATTATTCGCAAAATAGGTGTACAATATGTAGGTTGATATATAAATTTGTTGATATTAAAATTGTACATTTATTGAATTAATTTTCATGATAAAAATGATGAATTCATCTAACGCAAAGTGTAATCTTAATATCCGTATTTTCGAATGGTATTATAAATTTACCAACCCGTTCGAAAAGCTAAGATATCTGCATTTATAAATGACTGTATAAATACATCTATTTGATCCGCTTAGAATTCCGGGTCGATTTAGTTATATCTACATATTCATCTAAATCAAAAACGCATTGAGTCAAAGTAATCAAATTTACATAAATTTCTTAGATTAATAATAGCAAGAATCATTTTAAATTTTGAATAAGTGACTTTTGTCCCTAAGTGTCATTATTCTGAAAAAATTTGATTGTATTTATATAAGTTCTTATGTAACTTCCCATACAGCTTAAAAATATTTTGGCCATGTTCTGCAAACTATAAAAATTAAAGAATTCGAATTTTACATGAAGTAGTTTGGTGATATGGCTATTATTCTGCTAAAATTTAGTTATGGTTGTGCTTCTTACAATAGCTGCCATATAACTTCAAAAGTCAACAAGTTATATATTGAAAACAATAAACCCTAAAGTAAACTCAAATGTTGAGAACTTAGTTATATCGGCAAAATTTGATTGCATTTGCATAAATATTTACTACTGCACACATTCTGCATGGCAACTTTTCTCTGGATATCCTAGAATGGACGCGACTATAATTTTTCAATAACCTACAATTTTCTTAACTAATATAAAACAAATTTTCTTAAATTTCAATTACTTAAGGTATCTACCTAACCTACCTAACAAAAATGCAAGTAAATATCTATTTAGAATTGCCTAATTATAAACTAAGTAAAACCTGGATTATCGGTCTACTTTTTCTGTATGTACTTACTTATGTTGATGATTTTATGCATTCCAGTTATTGATTGCTCATTTCCACTTCAATGAAATCGAAAAAATTCAGTTGACCTGCATATGTAGAGTTGACCAACCTTCTTATTAAATCTCATGACCTTGCTCTTGCCTTTCTAGACCTTTGCATAATTTTTATATAGCAAAGTTCATGCAGTTCATGTAGACATCAAGCTTTTGTCTTTCTAAGTAATAAGAAATTTTTGTTACTTCTTACAATTTTTTTAATTCTAGCTAGTATAGTGTTAAATTGACGCAATATAAAGTTTAGCGTAAGATATAAGAATATTACAACTAGTCCAAAATTCTATAATCTAATTGGCAGACTGCATCTTAGCAGTTTCATTAAAACTTGCGCACAATTTTTTACGCTGATTTTTGTAATGCAATAAAATTACTCAATTCTATTTTTCTGCGCTAGTATTTTAGTTTATACAAATTTAAACTAAACACTGGCGTTTTGTGGTTAACAAACACTCTCCCAAAAAATACAAAGTTGAATCTCACTGAAATACAAAGTTGAAGAAAATAAAACGTTTTATTTTTAAAATTGATGTTATTTGGTACAACTTTTGTATGAGGAAATTAAAATTTATTATATCACAAAAATTTCATATTCTCTTCCTCTTTCAAGTACAAGTAGGCAAGTTCTTGTGCCCATAAACAAAATACTACTATATTGTTTGAAATCTAGCTTAATCTGAAATTATTATTTTTTTCCTGAGCATTTGGAATGAATTGGTAAAGGTTCTACCAGTACCAACATGCAACATTAACAATATGTTTAAATCTGTGTTTTCTAAAACACAACTTAAGAATTTACTTTTTTAAGAAAATGTTAGATTTGAGAACCTTCTGAAGCAATTAATTATCATTCCCTTTCAAATAATTTTTCTATTTCCCAGAAGAGATTTGATAGTGCTTTTATTTATATTTGTTCATCCTTTAATTACCATAACAATATGTTTCATAAATACTTATAACTTTTATTTATAATGTATATAGCAAAAATAACAAATTTATTTTACTATATTTAATTTATATTTGTATGTACTTTTGTTTTTTCGTAAATAGGTTCTCGAACAAGTTCATCCAAATTTAACAGCAAGAGAAGATGCCTTATTTTATGTGGAAAGTCTTTGTTTGCGGCTATTAGCTAAACTATGTGCTAAACCACCACCGCATACAATTCAGGTATTCATAAAATAAAATTATTTAATTAAAGTAAATAACATTTATTTTCTGCAATAAAATATATTTTAAAATATAAAGTAGATTAAATATTTCAAAAAAAAAAAAAATTACTATATATCAAATTTTAGGACATCGAAGAACGTGTTGGTAAAACATTTCCAAAACCAATTCATCGATGGGCATTAAATGATGCACGGGATACAATTGATAAATCAAAGAAAAAGAAATCTGTGCTACCGGTTGATCGTGTTCATACAATGTTGCAAAAAGTAATAACATTTTAATAAATTTTTCGATTTATATTCACAAAAATTAATTGATTTTTTTGAATTTTAGGAAGTTTTACAATATAAAATTGATAGTTCCGTGACATTATTTTTAGTAGCAGTTTTAGAATCGGTTTCAGGTGATATATTTGATTTAGCCGGTAACTATGTTAAAAATATCAAACATGTTGAAATGTCAAGAGAGGATATTGAAGTTGCAATGTGTGCGGATAAGGTAATTTTTTGTTTCAAATATAAAAACTACTTGATTATTATTAATTTTCATTTTTAAATAACTGGTTAAGTAATTTTACTAATTTTTATTTTATTTAACACATATATTTACTTTATTTTTTGTGAGTAAGTAATACATATGTATAATTTATTCTTTTTTTTTTTAATTTTTATAATTTTACAACAAAACTAAATCACATTTATGGTTTTAAAGATAAAATATTCGTAGTTTTTATTTACATATTTCCAATTTTTATTTTTGTTTTTTTCATTTTTGTTACAATATTTATAAATTGAAATAACTAATATACATAACATACCTATCGAAAATGAGTCATTTATATTGTGTTATGAATCAATATAAAATGTTATGTTGTCATTATTCAAAATATTGACAATAAGAAATATATACCGAAATTTAGTACTTAAAGTTTTATTGTAAAAAAAACATACTTAAAAAATTCATTTTAAAAGTTACATTTTTTACACAATATACTTATATTATTAAAATTAATTTTAATATGATGCTGTTATAATAATAAGATACTAGATTTAAATATTGTAATATATATTTTATCTTTGTGAATTAGTTTGAAGTTGAATTAAAATTAATATCGATACTTTGACGTTAAATTAAAATTTCGTTATAATCTTATCAAAATAATAAAATTTTGAAATTTTAGGATCAGAATAATTCAGCATCTTGTGACAATCCAATAACATTCTTTTATTTTTTTTTTATTTTAAAACTTAAACCTCCATTTCTATATTAAGCTTCCTTGTGTTTTAATATATAAGATCTAGTATTTTAGTAAACCAGTTATTTAAGTTAATGGAGTATTATTCAAAAATTTTGTAATTTTTAAGAAAAAATAAATAAATAAATTTTTTGTCTCCCGTACTAATAAACATTAATCCTTACAAATTTTTCACAATCTTAGCCTTTTTTTCTCTCATCTAATGATGACGAATTTGCTTAGCAATCTGAAAGCCGTATTTTGTGCTTGTAAATGATGATTGTTTTGCTCTTAAATATATAAGAGCTAAATGTTAGTTTGCATGGTTTATGATGCCTGGCCCAAAAAGTTTTTCTGATAATAATTTAAAATCAATTTCAAATTTGGAAATATATACTATACTGAAAATATCAATACCTTTTGAATAGCATCCAATTACCTAAATTAAGAAATGTGTCTAATAAAATATGGGTGATTTGATAGGACCAATGTCTACATTTTAATATTTGAATATAAAGTTAATTGTATAAAAATGGAATATTTTGATTATATTAATTATATAAATTTTCATAATTATTTATTAAAAAATGAAATAGCACAAGATAATCTAAATAAGAAGAAAAGTTTATTATTTTATTGTTTTCTATATTCATTTTCACTTCATTTTTATTTGAAAATTTCAGAATTCATATTATTTTTAAGTGTTTACATTTATTATTATTATTATTATTATTAAATTTAGAAATTAAAAAATTAATATTCACTCACATTTATTCATACAAAATAATATTTTTTAATATATTACCTAAAATACATTTTTACATACTTAAATACCAAAGATTTATAGTTTTTGGCTTTTAAATTACACATAATTTAAAATATGTTTAAGAATTTCTATTTTTATTTTATTTTTTCTGTTTAGTTTATACTTTTTTAATTTACAAAGTAAAAATTTAAATTCAAATTAAAAAAAATATATACATATATATATATACTTAAAAAATATTACAATATTTTTTTTAATATATTTTGCATAAATTTTTTTAAAATTTTTTTTTTCATGCTCGCTCACTTATAAAATTATCAAAAAAAAAAAATCAAATTCAAAATGTTTTAATATTCAAACAAAAAATCAAATATAAAATTTATATTCACTTTAACAATATAAAATAAAAAAAAATATATTCGATTGTTTGAAGGTGGTACGTAGTTCATTTATTTTAAAATCAAAAAATTCTAAATTTTTTTCTCCCATATCTTTTTAAATAAAAAATTTAATTTAATTAATTAATTTTTTTTTTGTATATTACTTAAAAAATTTTTTACTCTCTGTAGTTTAAAATATTTAAAAAAAAAATTTTTTTAATAGTTTTGAATATGAAAGCTAATTACTTCTAATATATTGTATGAAAATTTTTAGAAAAACGTTTTTCTTATTATTTAAAATGATAAGAAAAGCATTTGAAATTAATTTGAAATTTGTAACTTAAGTACTGCACAGTATAAAAATATCACTTTTATGGAAATTAACTATGAGTCTTCATTGCTTAGTGCAAAATGTCTTGTATCGATGTAATGATGTATCAGAGCAAAACTTTGCATTACTCCTTCAATAGTTCATATCATGTGTTGTTTAAAAACGTCGAACATATTTACTCTTCGACCAAAATTTTGAAAGTGACATCTGAAAAAAATGTTATTTTATTTTTAAAAAATTATTAAAATTTCTTTTTTGTGTGTTTTTTGTTAAATGGCCATTTGTGAATAGAAAAAATTAGTTTTCTTAAATACAATTTCCGAACTAGAATAAAACAAATAGTATAAAACAAATAACAGAAAATTTCCTTAGGTTATTCACTAGTTCGAGAAAAATATTTTTTTCTTCCTTCTTTTTACACTTATAACGTACATCAATGAATGAATTTTAATAATTTAGACAACTAATACTAGTAGAAAATTAATAATAATTTATTTTAAAATAATATATTAAAAATTTATGATATTGAATTTCGGAACATAAAATTAATATATGTATGTGTTTTTTATTTACATATCTACATTTTCATAATAAGTTTGAATAAACAGACAAGTTGTTCAATTTATACTCGTACTTGGCAATTTACAATACTAAGCAATATAATAAATGTATATGCAATACAGAATTTTCCAAATTTTTAAATAATATCCAATTGCTTTTAATGGAAGAAATTTGGCTAATTTTCGTTCTTTATGCTCTTTGATATATGCAAAAGTCTTAAAATAAATCTTTATGTTAAGATAAATCTTTTCACTAGTTTTATTTTTATAAGTTTTAAGAAAAATTTATTCAAAATTGTAGTACTTAAGCGTTAAAAAAATGTTAAAAATAAAATAAATATAAATAAAATACTATAAATAATATTATATAAAAAAAGAAACAAACAAATTGCATGCTTTTAACCCTAAAATTTGGAAAGAAAAAAAAATAACATTAAATTGTAATAACAATATTTTTTTTTACTTTTATATTATTTGAAAATAATTCGAGGCAATCAAGAAAAGTAAAATTCTATTTCAATTATTACCCCAATTAATTTTTTAAATGTTTTTTAATAAAGTTAAATAAATAATAAACTAGAATTGAATTTTAACAAAAATTTTTATTTTTAAAAATTAAAAAATATTGTTATTTTATGAAAATGTTGTTATTTTTTTTCTAAGAAAAATTCTTAATGATAATTTAAAATTGTTTTTGAAATCAATAACATCCCCATAATGCTTTTTTTTGCTTTTTATTAATAATTTACTTATAACTTTTATATTTCAGTTTTTTGTTTAAAAAAAAATAATATGGCAAAATATTTGATTATTAATAATTTTAATATTTCTTTTTACTATTTGCAATTTTTCTTCTTTTTATATAATATAGTGTATGCATGCTCCTACCATAATTGTATATAATATTTAAAACAAGGAGAAAAAAAGCAGAAAATCTATACACATTTTTTTTAAATTATAAGTTTTATTTTAAAAAATGCAAATATACAAAATAATTTTTTTAATACCAAATTATAATCTCACCACAATATTATAATCCTAACTTCTTCCTGTCCTTCTTTTTAAAATAAAAAAAAAAAACAAAATAATATTCTAAATGTTTAAAAATTAACGAATTTCAATATCAGATATATTAAATTTTTCATTTTTAACTTACAACTATAGGCCCTCATGGATATGTTTTCGCAAGGAAATAGTTTGAATACGACAATACCTAGTCAGCTACCGCAAACACCTAGAGCCAGTACTAGTTATGAAGATGTCGTCAAAGACTTAATTCATGATGAGAAACAATATCAACGTGATTTACATATGATTATTCGTGTATTTAGAGAAGAACTTTTAAAAATTGTTAATGATCCAAAAGATTTAGAACCAATTTTTTCAAATATTTTTGATATTTATGAAGTAACAATTACATTACTCGGCTCACTAGAAGATGTTATTGAAATGGCTGAAGAACAAAATAAACCATGTGTTGGTAGCTGTTTTGAGGAATTAGCTGAAGCAGCTGAATTTGATGTTTATATTAAATATGCAAGAGATGTAACATCACAACATTCTAGGGATGCATTATCAAATTTATTATCTAAGCCAGATGTAAGTTATTTTAATTTTTTTAGAAAAATTTTTAATATGTAAATTATTTTTATTTTAAGGCTAATTCATTAATATCAGCCGGCCATGGATTTCGGGAAGCTGTTAAATATTATTTACCAAAATTACTATTAGTACCGATTTGGCATGCATTTTTATATTTAGATTATATAAATACACTTAAAAATTTGAGTAAAAATTTGAACGAAGATGATCATGAAAGTTTTGAACAAGTTCAAGGTTTATTGAAACCTTTACAAACGGACTTGGAAAATATTGTGGCGACCTTGCCAAAGTAAGTATTATTGAAACAAAAAAAAATTGTTAGTAAAAATCTTTATATGAATTTTTTTAGCGGATTTTATAACGAATTTGTAATTCGAATGCATAGTAAAGCCAGAAGGCAATTAGCCAGCGAACGATCTCGAGATTTAGAAAAAACTGTAGATAATTGGGAAGTTGTAGGAAATTGTTATAATGAATTTATACGAGGTAAATTTATAATTATTTTGATTTGTTCAGTAAACTGAAATAAACTATAAAATATTTTAATAGAGGATACATTGAAACTGAGTTCTGGGAAAAGAGTAACTGAACGTAAAGTTTATTTGTTTGATGGTTTACTAGTTTTATGTAAAGCAAATACAAGACGACCTGTTGGCGGAAATACACCACAATACGATTTTCGATTAAAAGAACATTTTTATATGAGACATGTTGAAATTATTGATAGACAAGATACTGATGAGTTAAAGCATGCCTTTGAAATTTCACCAAGAACGCATCCGGCTGTAGTATTAATAGCTAAAAATGCTCAGCATAAAAACGATTGGATGGCTGATTTAATAATGGTTAACACAAAATCAATGTTAGACCGCATTTTAAATAGTATTTTATCAGATATAGAAAAGAAACATCCTTTACGTTTACCTAGTCCAGATATTTATAAATTTGCAGTTCCTGATAGTCCAGATAATATTGTTTTAGAGGAGAGAGAAAGTACTGGGGTTCCTTTAATTAAGGTACATATACATAGTCTAACATAATATTGTGAAATTGAAATATTTTATTTTTTGTTCTGTTTTTAGGGAGCAACACTGTGTAAGTTAATAGAACGCTTGACTTATCACATTTATGCAGATCCAATGTTTGTGCGAACATTTTTAACGACATATCGATATTTTTGTGCCCCTCAAGAACTTTTGCAACTTTTAATTGGGCGCTTTAATATACCAGATCCTAGTTTAGTTTATCAGGACAATTTACAGAACAGTGATCAAAATATGGAAACAGACAAAATTCATAAAAATTCTCATCGGGAAGATTGGAAGCGGTACAAAAAGGAATATGTACAGCCCGTTCAATTTAGAGTTTTAAATGTATTGCGCCATTGGGTGGATAACCATTTTTATGACTTCGAGAAGGATCCATCTTTATTGTCCAAATTGTTAGATTTTTTATCTACTGTAAATGGAAAATCTATGAAAAAATGGGTCGATTCTGTTTTAAAAATAGTTCAACGAAAGGTAAAAAATTGAATTATTATTTTAATATCATTTATAATTTTTTTAAATAATATTTGAATTCTTAAAGGAGGAGCAGGAAGAAAAAACCAATCGACAGATAACATTTGCATTTAATGACAGTCCACCGGCAATAGAATGCCATTTAGAAGTTCCTGAAACTAAATTTAATTTATTAACTTTGCATCCATTAGAATTGGCGCGTCAATTAACTTTATTAGAGTTTGAGCTTTATAAAAACGTCAAGCCATCAGAATTAGTTGGGTCGCCGTACGCTAAAAATGATAAACAGCTTAATTCACCAAATGTATTAAAAATAATGAAGCATTCTACAGACGTATCGAGATGGATTGAGAAATCCATAGTGGAAGCAGAAAATTTTGAAGAACGTGTTGCTATTTTAACACGTGCTATCGAAGTAATGTACGTTATGTTCGAACTTAATAATTTTAATGGCATGTTGTCAATAATTGCTGTTACGAAGAGTGCAGCTGTGCATAGACTGACGCATACATTTAATGCATTAAGTCCATCACATAAAAAAATACTAGAAGAAATGGAAAAATATAATGATGGTCATTTACAAAAAATTCAGGAAAAATTAAGATCCATCAATCCACCATGCGTGCCATTTGTTGGAAAATATTTGACAAATATTTTACATTTAGAGGACGGTAATCCAGATTTTTTACCTAATACAGAATTAATAAATTTTTCTAAGAGGAGAAAGGTAGCGGAAATAATTGGAGAAATTCAACAGTATCAAAATCAACCTTATTGCTTGAAAATCGATCCAAGAATAAGAGTAAGTTTATTTTAAAATTCCCCATTTCGCTTAACTTATTAACATGAGCTTGTTTTCACAGCGATTCCTGGAAAATCTTAATCCTTTTGAAGGTATGCTTGATGCTGACCAATCTAATTATTTATATAAGGAAAGTTTAAGAATAGAACCAAGGAATTGCAAAGTTCCCCCAAGATTCGTAAGAATTATCTTATATTCTAATAATTCTAAAAAAAATTAAACACGAAAACTTTAACTTTTCAGCCCCGGAAATGGCCCGAATATTCATTAAAGTCACCGGGCATAAAACCTAGACGTCATAACAATAGCAGTAGTAGCAACAATAGTAATAGTACAATATCATCATCAATAATTTCTCCAGGATATACTGGTGGTGGTCATGTGAATAATGCAGCAACTTGTAGCGAAGGTGAATTGAGTCCAACATCGACAACAACTACAATTTCTTTGCCTATGACATCGTCGCGAAACGCTCAAGATCACTCAGTATTTGCAAATGTTAATATAGTGGGAAGAAGTGGTAGTTCTCATCAACATCAACATAGTTTTTTATCACATTCGTCTACACAAACATTAAACTCTATTTCTCCTGGGGCAATTGGAGGTGTGTCTCCTAATGAAGTTCCTTCAAATTTTGATAGAATGTCAATCGCAAGTGGTAATTATAGTAGTAACAGTAGCGTAGCTCCAGAGCTACCAAAACGTTCAAACAGTATTATATCAACCGATGGTTCTATAAAACCACCTATTTTAAGTCCCGCAAATATAAGTGGCAGTCGATATTTATCAACTTTAACTTCTCACCAAAAACATAGACTAATGGAACCGTTGTCTGAATCGAATTCGGGTAGTCAGATAAATAGTTTTAACTATGGAGGAAACTTTAGTTCTGCGAATGTAAATAATATTAATGAGCAGTCTCCTCCACCAATCTCGCCGCACCGCATAAGTTCCAATAGTCCTAGAAGTGAATCTGTGTACAACAACAAAAACAGGAATTGTTTATATAGTTTTAGGTAATATAAGAATTTTAATTTAAAATAATTAAAATGCTTAAAATCTGTTTACCTTTCAAGTCCAAATGATGAACACTTGATGGCAAATCATGCTACGAATGAAAATCTTGGTACAACTAATTACGGATTTTCACCTTCAAGTCCCAAATTCCATACAAATCATCAAGCAGGTTCAAAAATTCAAAACGAAATTAATTTACATGGTGAAACTGGTCCAGTCCCTTTATCGCCGCATGTCAACGTACCAACAACATCACATGGGCAAATTCCTCCTCCATTACCACCTCGCAGACAAGAAAGATTGAGGAAACCACACCAACCCCCTGATGTCGCTCAGTTAGCACAAAAACGACAAGCACCTGATGCACCACAAGTAATTGGATTATAAATTCAATTTCATTTTTAATTTCTTCTTTTTTAATATATGTATATAACATGCTCTTCCTTATTTTCAGCTGCCACCACGAGACGGTGATCCAAGTCCCCCTCCATTGCCACCTAGAACTAATCATATTTGTCATTCTTTAAATCATTCGCATCACCATTTACATCATCATCATTCTATGCATAATTACTCTATATCTTCACAACACGTCCAACAACTTTGTACGCCAGTGATGGCTAGTGTAAATTTGTGTCGAAGTAATAATCCTACAATAACAGTTGACCCACTACATGGTGTTGATTTGCTAATGGGTCAAAATAATTTAATGTTACCACATTCGAGTACGTTAATGATGCGTCGTAACTCTGCTATGGAAAGAGCAGCAAAACAGTCAGCAAATTCGAATACAGATATAACAATGTCTAATAAACCTACTAATAATGTTATTCCATCAAATGGAACGAATATACAAAACGTGATAAATATAAATTGTCAAAAAGCAAATATCATAACCAATACCAATAGTATAAATTCCTATTCAACTAAAGCAATTTCTCCTGCATCTAGCTCATCTGCAACAGCCTCACCTATAACACCAATCACACCTATATCGCCTCGTTTACATCATCACCAACAATCACATCAACAAAAGCAACTAATTGCTCATAGTCACAGTCAATCTTTATCATCTGATGAAAAACTTGATTTTTCGTCTACATCAACGAGTACAACAGTTGCTACAGTTACAGTAACAGCATTACGACGAGCGAGTACGAATACACCACCTCGTTTCTCGCCGGGAGAAAGTACACCCAAATTACCTCCAAAACCAAAGTTCAGTATGAATTGCTATCATAATAGTTCAGGTAAAGAAGAATTTGTTTGAGTTAAAAATAAAATCTTTATCTATCTTTAAATCTTGCTTCTTGATCTCTTAATAACCTTGCTTAAAATTTACTGCTTAACTTAATAAGAAGAAGAAAATTAACAAGTTTTTGTACATTTAGACAAACTAACAAAAAAAAAAAGATAAAAATTTGTAATTTGTATATTTGATGAGTTTTTAGAATATAATTTTCAATAACATTAAAAAAGAAAACTAAAAGAAAAGCCAATTGATAAATAATATTTTCTTTATTTACGGTATTTTTAATTTGTAAGAAACTCATCAAATTACAAACTAACAACGTAATTCTAGTAGCACTTTAAAACTAACTCTATAATTAAAATTCATTTTTTTTCCATTTAGAAAAACTACATATGTAGATAACAATAAAGCTAACGCTAATGTAAATATTTGACAAAAAAACAAAAAAAAAACTTATAGTATATACAAAAATTATTTCCATTACAGATAAAATTACTATGTTCCCATATCCAAGTACAAATCAGGAGTAGATTATTTCTACATCAGAAAAACAATAATTATTAAATATGTTTGAAATTAATTATATTATATTGACTAATCAAAAACAAAACAAAAATTTAAGTGACAAAACATTTACACTTGTAAATTAAAAAAATCTTCCAAATCTCAAACCTGTTTGTTTTATGTTCATTAAATTTTGGCCGTCATTAACCATATTTAATTACAACAAAGAATTAATTAATAATTACGAAAAATAAATAATATATATTTTATTAAATTTGTTGTTTGTATCATTTTTTGTACATCATTACAAAATGATATTATAATTTAAAAAAAAATTTAAATTAAAAACAAAGATGATTTAATTGTTTCAAATTGAATATAAAGGTATAAAACAAATGACATTTAAAAATCTCAATATTTTGCTATTATAGAATAAATATAATAAAATAATACATGTAAATTATAAATTTATAATAATTTGTAGAATATAGATATATTTTAATTATAAGGGTTTATATAAAAAGTTGTATATAAAAATAAACAAGAAGCATTATAAAAAAATACATATTGAATGTATGAGTTTGTGTACGCACATTTAAGATGCAAAAATCACAAAAAAAAAAATAATAAGTATAAATTAGAACAAAATTAAATATAACGAAAATGTTAATATTTGAATTATAAAAAAAAAAAATGTTTTTGTATTTAAATTTCTAATAATAAAAAATAATTCATACATAGCTATATATAAGATATTTCAATAATGTGCAACATTATGTATTATATAATTAAATTTATATTTTAAAATTATAAAAATAAGTAGATTAAAAAGTTAACTTTTATTTTTAGTTGTAATAAATCTTATACTCATACAAATTTTTAATAATATTTGTATGTGATGTAAACTGCGTCTAAAATTTAGTATTTTTTAAATATTTTGTTTATTAATCATAATTATTGTTTATATAATATAAATATATTTTTTTTTTTGTATGTTTTCCTTATAATTCAAAATTAAAACAAATTTATAAATTTTTTGTTGCTTTATACTTATAAATAAAAAAATTTTTTTTGAATAATATTCAGAACAGAAAAAAATTACAATATTAGGATTAATAATAATATAATTTAAAAGAATGTTTTAAAAAAATTTTGTGATCAAATAGTATGATTTTAAAATATATATATTGTAAAACTATTAAATAAAAATTTGATTAAAATATAATTATTATTAACATGAGAAATTATTATGATAGATTTGAAAAAAAAAAAAATTTATAATCTCTTTATAAAATTAAAAATATAAATTTATGCACCGCTACCAAAGTGGCAATACAAAAATTATTTCAAATGATTTTAAATTTTTAACACTATTTTAAAGTGAATTCAAACACTAGAAACATTTTCTTCTTATTGTTTTTTATTTGTAATGTTAAAATGATTTGTATTTCAAAAAATTATTCTTAATACCAAGTTTATGATAATTTTTCATTATTATTCTAATTTAAAGTGTAGATAATATTTCTTTAGTCTTCCAAATAAAAGAAAATAAAGTTAAACTTTAGTTTCAACACTCAAACAGATAATTATAACAAAACATAGATCATAAAAAATTTTTAAATAATTTTTTTTTGCAAATTTTAACTTAATTTCAAAGTTATTTCTAATATTTATCAAAATTATAAAAGCTTTTAATTTTATAACTAGTTTCTATAAAAATTATATGGATAATTCAAAAACAAACTTTTTTAAATTAAATTTTTTTGTGTTTTCCATTAATTATAATGAATATAATTATAATTATAATTATTGTTCCATACAATTTAATTATTCTTTCATTATACAAAATAATTCTGTATATTATGCGTGTATATGTATATCGTATACATTTTTTTTAAAGATTTCTAAATTTAATTTCTCGTAAAATAAATTCAGTTCTCAGTTTGATAAAATTTGTTTAAGTAAAAAATTAATCAATATTTTTAATTAAACAGAAAATTAATCAGAAAGAAATTAAAAAATATTTTACTTTAACATAAAAATAAAATTTCATGTTATTAAAATTTAAAGTTTTCAGTTATTTAATCAAAATGCAATTAAATGGCGTATATTAAGTTATAATTAATGATTTCAAAATACTTTTTCTTTGGTCTTTTTGTTTAAAAAAATATATAAAAATTTATATAAAATTTCTCTTAATAAAAATAATGTAATTATTAAATTATAATAATCATGTTATATGCTAGCATTATACTTGACATATTTGAAATTAAATAAAATGAGTATGAAATAAATGAAAAGGTAACTTAAATTTAGGATTTATGTAAAATTGTGCAAATATTTTAATGTCATAGAATAAAATCCATTTTTTGATTTTATAAAGATTTATTACTGTCGCATATAACATTGTACATATATATATATATATATATATATATAATATATATATATATATATATATATATAAGTTATATTGAATTGTTTCAGATAGTTTTTACAGAAAAGACTTGTTTAAAAAAATCCTCTTCCAATAATTTCTATAATTTTTAAGATAATTTTTTTTATTGTGTTTTTAATTAAGTTTAAAAATGTATTTTTAATATTATAATTATAAATATCTTATTTTATAATTTAGTTGTTTCTTTTATTTTATTATTGTTTTCAGTTACATTATTTTTTCCTTTTTTTATTTCAGTTTTTATTTGTTTTCTTTTTGTGCTAAGGCGCAAATATTTTATAATTTGGCTACAATTTTTAAATTTTAATTTAAATACACTTAATTTTGAATTCCTCATCGTGATCGGCGAAGTGAATATGAATTTTTTGTCACTTTATTAACGAATTCGACTAAATTTTGATGGAATGTTTATCGAATGGAAATTCTTTGTGTCAGTTTTGGCGAATGAAAACAAATGTTTTGATTTTCGATGTCTTGGAGCAGCAACACTTTGGATATTGTGAGAGGAATCATTTGCCGTTCTCATTTTAATATTTATCAAGTTCATTCGTTTCACCAATCATAATAAGACCTTATATGCAATAAATATTTGTAATAGGAGTAGAAAAATTTTCAAAAGGTGTAAAAAAATTTTTAAGAGGACTATCATTGAATAAGTTAATAATTTTAATTTATTATTGAATTAAAACAAAATTCGGTTATTGCTGTATAAGTTTTCTATAATTACTCAATAGTATTTGATAAATCAAAAATAAGGCATCAAATCTTTATTTCATTTGATTTTTTAAATTTGATCTTCAAATTTAGTTCGCAAAAATAATAAATTGAACTATGAACTGAAAATCTTTGAAGTAATTTATAAAAATTGAGTTCATCATCTAGGTTCTCTTCTATTCAAAGAATACTTTTTTTTAACCTTATTTGAACATTTCATAGTCGAAATCAATAATGATTGTGAGAAATGGCTAGATATAGAAATCAAAAAATGATATAAAATTTTTGTTTTACCAACAACATTTAAGGTACATATAAAACTACAAGTTGCATTAAAAAATTTTTTAATTTTATTAAAAATATTAATTAAGTTGATTTTCTTTTTTAACTTGTTTCAAAATTTCATTATAAATTTTATTTAATAAATCATGATAATAACAAAAAAATTCGCATAAACAATTATTTATCATATTAAAGGTTTTATATATATTTTATAAGATTGATTATCTTACTTAATATAAAAAGTATATAGGATATTTTCTGAGAAGCGAAATGTGAAATTCTGTAAGCAAGAAAAGAAATAAAATAAATAATTAATATATAATAAGAAAAATAAAAATTTAACGATATAAAAAAAGTGGTTTACATTCCATTATTATAAAAAAAAAATTTTGTAAATAAAAATTGATAATATTTTTTTCAAAAACTAGAATATTTTTTAAAATACATACGTAAATAATTAAGTAACTATTATACATAATAATAAAAAAAAATGCGGGTAAATAATGAAAAGTAATTTAAATGAAAATATTTAAATTAATTTTTTTTATTACATAACATACTATTTTGTTGAATTTATATACCCTGTGAAAAATTAAAAATTTTTATAGACTATTGGGTTGTTTTTGATTATTACCTTTTCACAGTTCTAAATTTTTAATATTTTTAGGAAAAAAACAATTAGTATGCTACTATTTTTTTCAAAGCTCAATTTTGGTTTGCAAAATCTTTCAATACTTCTTCTTTGCACTCTGCGTGTTTTCATAAAATTGAAATTTTCAAGACTAATAAATGTTCTTTTGAATCAAATTTTTATAAATGATAATCACTTTTTTTAACTTTATTTTGAAAATTTTTTTGCTTGATTCATAAAAATTTTCTAATTCTATTTTCTAACAAAAATATATTTTTAATTATTTAACTATACTATACAATATAAATTCAAATTATATCTATAGTTTTCAAAATCTATTGAATTACTTTTCAATAAAAATAAAACAAGATGAAAAACTAATAAAATTAAAAAATAATTTTTGCTATAGAAATATAATATTGTGTAAAATATATAAAATATATATATATACATAAATAAATCTTTGTTTTTTTTAATTATTTTTTTTTATTTCAAATTAGAAAGGATTTTAAATCCGATTACAAAGAACAAGAAAACTTTTTATAAAAAAAACAAAAAAAATAAACATTTTTTACTGCTTTTTATACAAAATAATTAATTAAATTATTGAAAAAAATATAGCCATATTATATATATAATTCAAAAACATACATGTACTTATTTACTTAATTATATTTGTATAACAAATTAAAAAGTAAAAGTTAATAATAAAAAAATTCAAGGAACATATTAAAAAAAATAGTTAATAGTAAAAAATATTGTAAATAATAAATAATAAAGAAAATTGTAAATAATGTTTTCATTAAAAAAAAATAAATTAAATTAAATTATTGTACATACCATTATAATAAAATATTATTAAAATAATTATTTATAGAATAAATATTGTTTAATTATATTAAATTAAATATTTATATAAAGAGTTACAAAAATAAAACAAAATAAAATTAAAATTTACTTTTAAAAAGTAAAAAATTAATTGAATTTAATAAAGTGATGCTTAAGTTTCAAAAATACACACTATGTTTAATAAAAAAAAAGCAAAAAATATATGACAAAATTTCATAAGATGAAAATGAAATTCAATAAATTTAAATAAAATAATAAAAAAAAAAAGACAAAAACAAGGAAAAAATAAGAAATTGATGTTTCATAGTTTACAAATACAAAAAAAAAATAAAATTAATAAAAAAACAAATTATAATTAATTAAAAAAAAAGGATCAACCGATATTAGTAAGTAAAAAATAAAATTGATTTAAAAAAAATATATATTTTTAGTATAAATAAACCAAAAAAAAAAAA